CAACTGCACAGTCTCACCATTTGGGTTTTTCCTGTGGGTGAGGATACTGAGGCCAAAAGGGAAGTTATTTTCCCAAGGTCGCAAGGCAAGTGCCAAACAGGACTGGAGCTAGAACCTCAGAGTTTGGGACAGAGTTGAAATTGTGTGGACAATGACTGCTGGCGTGGAGCGTGTCCCTGTAGCAACTTATTCTTCTTACCTGCTGGGGAACTGTGTGACGCAAGACTCCAGGCTGGTAAATGATACCCTGTTGCCCATCTGTAAAAGACCACACAGAGCTTGGCTGATCCTCCCTTCCCACCTACCCTGAAAAAGCACCTACCCTCCACCTGAGGACTCTGGTCACCATGAATTTTTTCAATACCCCACCCACAATGCCTCTCCTTTCTGTAAGCGCATGATACTCGGCACTAATAGGCACCCTTAAACCTGGACCGGTTAAGGTCTGGGGAGGGTTTGCCCAAGGTCAAGTGGAAATTCTGTAGCATGGCTGGTGGCAGAAGCAGTTAGGATTACTGATGCCAACCGGAGACCCCCCAACTCCCTGGACAGAGACTCACTCATGCCTGGTGATCTGGCGGGGCACTGCTTAGCATCCATATGAGAGTTGGGGTCAGCATCCATAGTTCTTCTCAGGCCTCAAGTGAGATGCCTCTTTCCCTGGGTACACTGTCCTTCTTTACAGAACTCACAGTAGGCAAGGCTCCACCAGACTCCCTGAAATAGGACATTGAAAGAGTCCTGTTAGTCACACATACAGGAGGCCCGACCTCTCCCCTAGAGAGTGTAGATCCCTGAGAAGGTGTACTTATAGGTCTGGAAGAGGCAGGAACATGTTCACCCCTGACTTGTTCTGATTCCATGGGCATGGCACAGTCAGAGCAAATTATGGGTTCTCTGGGACCCAGTTTGACCCCCCGCCCCTTTTAGTGATCCCATACTCAATGTTAAGTTCGGGTCGCAAGTCCACTAGAAAACAGACTGTCTTTCACGTTCTGTGTTCTGTGGCTCTAGGGTTGGGGAGGCCACCAAAATGGCCACTGGAATTCCCACCCCCAGTGTACTTCCTCTACCACCAGATAACTCTATCTCTGGTGCCTAGAATCTTCCTGTCCTCCATCCTGCCATCGCTGGAACCAATTTCCCCGCCCCTGTTCCTCCTCCTCCTTCTTTTTTTTTTTGACCATGGTTTTTGTTTTAACCTTGATCTCACCTGATTACCCAGAATCTCCCTCACACAAGTCCCTCTCTCACATCACCTTCTCCTCACAACCTGCTCTCCTAAGCCTCGCAGAAGCCTGATCGTGCCTTTCCCTGCTCACCATCACTCACAAACACACACACAGAGTTACACACACAGAATCACACACACAGAGACACACACAAGTTACTCACATACACACACACAGAGTTACACATACAGAATCACACACACACAGTTACACACACAACACAAACACAAGTCACTCACATACACACACACAGTTACATACACAGAATCACACACACACACACACACACACACACACACACACACACACACACACCTTCTGCAATCACCACTCCCTGATCTGTTACTTCATACTGTGTCCTTCCAAAGCCAACGGCTAATCCTGACTTATGGGTCAACCTTGAACTGTCTCCCGAAGTCCTAACTTTAACTTGACTTCTGACCACCCACATGGAAGCGAGTGAACTTGCCCATTAGCTCAAGGGTGCCATATATTCCCTTCTCCCTGGTTTATGGTTTATCCGAAAGCCCCACTTCAATCTTAATAATAATTGCTTTGATCTCCTTGGAAATCACTGACCACGTGCTCCTCATGAAATCGTGTTCTACCCAAGCCAACTTGGCTGACTCCTGCCTAAAATCCCACTACACAGGAGGCTGAGGCAGGAGAATGGTGAGTTTGATGACAACTCATAAGACCGGGACAGTTTGTCTCCAGTCATAACCACAGTCAAGACAACAACAACAAGAATAAATAAATAATTATAGATATTTAATATCTATAATTTTAATAAATATATTTATTAGTATATAATATTTACATTATTTTAACAACCCATAAATAATTAATTAAAGATTGTTGTCCTCTAGAATCTTGGACCTCTGACATTTATCTTCCTGTAGCCTCCTTTTCCCCCAGCATTTTTCTGCCACCAAAAAAATTTTTTTAAATTAAAAAAAAAAAAATTTATGACCCAGCGTGAAATGCTATGCCCCGTTCAAGCCAGGAGCTAGTTCCTCAGCAGGCTGTTTTTCTCAGGACAACATACTCTCTGCTGTGACGGAAACTCATGCCTTCCGCCATAGCCTCTGGCCAACCTTCTAGATGCTTCTCCACATTTCACCAATGGCACCTAAGCACAGCTTCCCCTCTTCCTCGGCAGTACCCTCCTTGTGTCTGTCTGTCTATCATCCTCCAGCTGTTCAAAGAGCACAGATTCTGCCCAGGAAACGCAGTCAGCCTTTCCTGTCTAACCTGAGCCAAAGGTCGCCTCGTTGAGGGTCCCGAAGCTGGGAAGCCTTGCAGCCAGTGCTCCACGAGTGGGCAGGCTAGGCGGGGACTAGCCTCGCCTCTCTGGCCTCGCCTCTCTGGCCTCGCCTCTCTGGCCTCGCCTCTCTGGTAGACTTACATGAGGAGGCAGAAAGCTGAAGGAACTGGGTTCCCAGAGACACCAGAGAACGGGGAGAACAGGACAAGGAATGTGCAAATCTTATTTTTGATGCCAGCCTGTGGTTACCTCAGTGTCCAGCGGATCAGAAGCGAGGAGCTGAGTTCTGAGGCAAGATGCAGGTCCTTCCTCTGCCAACTCAGTTTCCTGCCAATGAGCTGCCCGCGCTTCTTTTTCCCTCCTCAGCACCTGTTGTTTCTGGACCAATGAGCTTTCAGAGTTCCTCCCCTCACACTGGCTTTGTCGCCACCTTATGGCTGCTCTGTGTTCTACACAGTTCTCCTCAGCACCCATGCATGTCTCTGGGGAGAGAAATGAGACTTCTGCTCTCTAGTGGTGTTTACCTGCGTTGCCTCCTTTTCGTGGGAAAAGTGACGTGCTGGCGTTTTCAGCATATCTGCTTGCAAAGCTCCTGTTCACATCTCCAAAGTTCAGCACGTGGGGGCTTAAGGCAGGCGTCGGGCGTCGGGCGTCGGGCGTCGGGCGTCGGGCGTCTCACATGTCTTTACTCCCAGCTCCGGAGAGGCAGAGGTAGGCCGATCTCTGAGTTCAACGCCAACATGGCCTACAGAGCGAATTCCAGGATAGCCAGTGCTGCACAGAGAAACCCTGTCTTGAAAAAACCAAACAAATAAAAATAAATGTCAGCCTGTGGGGGTCAGAACGATATCTCAGTCTGTACGTAGTAACCACGAGGACCCGCGTTTGAACCCCAGAACACATATAAAATGCTGATTGTGGAGGAAGGATCTTGCCATCCCAACACTGGGGAGGCAGAGACAAGAGGAGCCCTGGGGCTTGCTTGCCTGTCGAAGCAAATCGGTGAGATCCACTTTCAGTGAAACACAGTGTCTCAAGAAAGAAGGTGAAGAGGGATTGAGCGAGACAACCAAGTCCACCTCTGGCCTCAACAAGCCCACATACACAGGGGAGTGTGCAGCCACACACATGTAACCCACATTCCAACCATGTTTTGGTTGATTTCAGGCAAATATGAATAATTTGTACACAGCCCCTATATAGAACCTGAAGCTTCATTACTTTAGAGCAGTGATCCTGGAATATTGCCCAACTTCATGATGCTTGTAGCTTCTTGGGTTTCTATTTTTTCTTTCTCTTTTGCTCTGTTTTAAAATGTATTTAAAGATTTACCGATTTATTCTGTGTGTATGACTTTCGTGCATGCATGTCTGTGCACCACAAGAGTGCAGTGATCTCAGAAGCTGGAAGAGCTTGTTGGACCCTCTGGGACCCAATTTTGGGGCAAATGTTTGTGAGCTTTCACGTGGGTGCTGGGAATCCAACCCAGATCTTCCACGACAGCCCACCCACCTCTCCAGCCCCTAAAAATTCTTTTGAAAAATGGTCTCGCTGTGTAGCTCAGGATGGTCTTCAACTTGCTGTGTAGCCCAGGCTGTCCTCTAACTCGCCCCAGCCGTCTGTGGGCTGGGATTATGGACACGAGCCCCATGGCGAGCTCACAATGGTTCTTGAACACACCGTGTTCAGCACCATATTTGCAGTCTCAGACTAGAGCACCACGTGTGGGAAGCAGAGTTTGGTCTTGGACCACATTTCTGTTCTTCCTGCTGATGGTGGTGGCATTTGGGGCCGGGGACAACCTTCGAGAACCAGTGCAGGCAGAGAGGACAGCAATTACCCTTCTTCCACTGACACCGTTAATAACTCCCTGCAAATCTCCTTTCGTGTATGTCCTCTGATCTCCGTATTTCCCTGGTGATTTTCAAGCAAATCTCGTGCAACTCCACTATTGGGGGAACAATCCGTTTCCCCCACCTTTTTTAGCCCGAGAAGACACAGCTGAAGTCAAACAGAGCGAACCCTCTTTTATCTAAACCATGTACTCACATTGGCTCTTTTCACCGGCTTCTTGTAGGGATTGAAGCTTCGCCTTGCCACTTAAGCGATTCAAACCCTTCCCCTTAAATTATTTTGGCATGCATCTTCTGAGAACTGTGTTGTCTCCCCAGACGAGCACAGTAACAGTATCTCACCAAGAAAAATCGTTAAATGCAATTATTAGCCAGGTTGCCAGACAGTCCATATTTAAATTCTCCTACCTGCCCCACTACATTTAAAAATTTACCAGCTGGGCGGTGGTGGCGCAGGCCTTTAATCCCAGCCCTTGGGAGGCAGAGCCAGGCGGATCTTTATGAGTTCGAGGCCAGCCTGGTCTACAGAGCAAAGCTACACAGAGTAACCCTGTCTCAAAAAACAAAAAAGCAAGCAAGCAAACAAACAAACAAACAAAACAAAAACAAAAAAATTACCCTACTCCTTTTTGTTTTGTTTTAAAAGTGATTTTCATTTGATGTTGCAAAAGACTATGCTGTTTATGGAAGGTAATAACAGTTCTTTGATTACTCTTTTATAATGCTATACTTAGGAATTACTTTTGTTGCAGAAAATCAGTTAGGATTTTTGCATGTCCTCCAATCATGTTAGAAAGGAATTTCAGAGCATGAAGGTTCAGTGAACCAAGTACAAAAGGCCAGGGCTACATATGAACCATCTTTCTTTGGATTTCATTAAAATTTAGCTTCTGAAAATTCTGTCCTCATATCACACAAGTAAATATTTTTTCAGTACACTAAATTACTGGGTGAGAGAAGACAATTGCATGTAATGATAAATAACAGATACCTTGAAAACAAGGAATGAGAGTATGTATGTGTTGGCCTAATGGTAAAGGTCTATAATCCCACGTACTCAGGAGCCTGAGGCAGGCAAATTCAAGGCCTATGTGGGATACATTGAGTTCTTGGTTTGTATGGTTGACTTAGTAGTATGTATTACAGTGAAATGAAAATTGGTGTGGATCTTGCTCTGTGGTAGAGTACTTGTGTTGCATGAGCTACATCCAATTTTACCCACCAGTACTGAAAGAGATAAAAACAGTACACAGAAAAACACATCTAATACAGTTTCAACACAATTGGGGTATGACATGGGCTACAAATCAGTACTAAAGCATGCTGGATATTTGATCTTAGGTAGTAGAGGTAGGCCTTAACTGTACAGTACTCCAATAGACATGATGGAGATGCATGAGAAAAATATAACACATGCAGTTTCTGTGGTGTGGAAGCAAATTTGAGACTATCAACTTCTTTTCTACAAAACCATGATAGAACATGGTCTCTGAAGCATGGGCAATATTAGTAGGAATGCTTCTATTATGTTAAGGTGGTAGGTTTGGTTCAAATCCCGCCAAAGCCATACATATCTGCCTGGTGGGAATTATACTCACTTTGGCATATTCTTTCATCTGTATATGGTTTAGGGTAGGCTAAAGTCATTTTATTAGCATATAGGCAATCCCTAAGAGCAATGTCAATAGAAACTTGTTCAATATTAGGAATTGATAAATACAGCCTCCCATAATCTAATGCTTTGCATATCAATTGCATGGTTAGTGCCTTCGTAGCTTCTAAAAAACAATGACACTGATATGCCAGATGCATCAGAACAACAGATGAAAGCGAACTCGCAGATTGTGTGTTCATGTGGAGGGGGCATGCATGAGCGCACTTGTTATGTGTGTTCAAGTGCCTGTGGTGGCTAAAAGAAGCTATTGGTCCTTCTGGAGCTAGAGTCAGAAGAAGTTATGACCCTCCTGATGTGAGTGTAGTAACCACACTTGCATCCTTGGGAAGAGCAGTAAGCACTTTTATATGCTAAGCCATCTCTCCAGCCCATGATCTTACTTCTTATACAAGACACCGTGAAATGTATCTTCTATGAGTGCTTTATTATCACTTTCCACCTCAATATGCAGTGGATGGCATCTCAGACCATCATCCTGCACAAACTACATACAACATTTTCCTATTTGGGCTCCCTGTTCTATAGACACTCAAATATACAAAACCTGCAATTCTCTGTCCATCAGTCACTAGAAATTCCTGAACATCATTTTCTGGCCAGTTGATTTAACATGAGCTGTGTCTGAGATTGAAATACATAATCTCTTAGGTCTTCTAATGATATGTCCATCCCAGGAACAGGTGAGACCAACTGTTGGTGCATATACATTTTCTGTAGTGTTTTGTAGTATTTTATAAGTATTTTTCATTGACTTATTGTATTCTCATTATTTGTAATTTTTTTTTTACAAAAGCTACTCATGTTTTTCGTGCTAGTATGGACTTGAAAGGCTTGAGTATCTCATATCTCTATTTTCAGTTGTAAAAGCCCTTGAGGTCCAAGCATCCATTATTCCTGCAGTTTTGCCGCTGATGTTCTTGACTTCAACATGGGCACCTTGACTTTCTCTTTTCCATACAAAGGAGTATATGCTAAAGTACAAGGCATAGCAGCTGCTCTTGATGTGATAGTTAATTGTAATCATCAACCCGATTACATTAAGAAATGCCTAGGACATTAATAGGCACACCCACTGATGTGTCTGTGAGGATATTCCAGAAATGTTTCACTAAGGATGGACAATCCAACCTGAACATGGGTGGTCCCACCACATGAGCTGGGGTGACAGACTTTGAAAAAATGGAAGGGAGAGAGAAAGTCAGCTGAATGGTATTCTCTTTTCTCCAAGTTTTTCCCACTGCCAGGCATTAGGAGTGTACCCCTTCAAATTCTGAACCAAAAATAAACTGTTACTCCCTTCAATTATGTCTGTCAGGTATTCCATCACAACTAAAAATAAAGTATACACCAGAAAATGCCCCCTTTCTCCATAAGACTCCTGTGTCTCCACATTTGAGACTGTACACTGAGAGACCATGACTACTCAGCTCCCTTGCACAGCCACTGGGATGCCTTGATCATCTCTCCTCAGACCTCCTGAAATCTCGTTTCAACTCAGGCTCACACTGAGGGAGGAGGAGGATGCCACACATGGACTATTCAGTTATTCAGGAAAGACACACAAACACTTCCTTTAACTTACACCTTTGGTTAAGGGGCATATGCCAGATCAATAGGAGGCAAGGAGCTGGTGAGGGTGGGTTCTGTCCTCAGACATTGGTATTCTTCTGTCCAAGGGTTAGGATTTCTCTCACCTCCACAGCTGCTTCTGTACCTTCCTCTCAGTTCCTGGAGGTTAACTATTCTGAGACCTAACACTGCACTGTGTACAAGTGCCAACATGTGAACATCATCCAAAACACAGGAGTACACAGCTTTTTCCAGAGGAACAGCTCACAGATACCCTAGTTAATGAAAGAGCAGAGTATGATGTACCTCACACCTCTAGCACTGCCAAGGTGTACCATCTAATAATATTTTTGAAAGATTGTTTTAGGGATCAGCAAAATAATGAAGTAGCATATATCACATTCAATTTTGAGTTTAAAAAATGATGTTGAGTTAAAGATATTGCTTGATAATGAAAAAGTGAGGGAAATTACCATGGGCAGAACTTTCCTACAAGAAATACCAAAAGGAAATCTCTCAAAAGGCAATAGAGGGGCTGGAGATGTCTCAGAAGTTAGATGCACTGACTGCTCTTCCAGAGGACCCGGGTTCAATTCCCAGCATCCACGTGACATCTAACAACCATGTCAAACTCCAATTCCAGGGGATCTGACAGCTTCTTTTGCCTTCTGTGGACATACATGCAGGGGAAGCACCCACACATATAAAATAAAACAAGACAACAGATAGTAATTCAAATCTCCATGAAACAATTAGAGCACGATTAAAAGGAACCATACTGCCATTGACAAAAGGCTATGGGAATACAGGAATGTACTATGGTTTCTCTCTCTCTCTCTCTCTCTCTCTCTCTCTCTCTCTCTCTCTCTCTCT